CCCCTGGTAAATTGCGAAAAGCCTTTTTCACTCCATGATCTTCGTTGTAGATGATGAGGGGCCCTTTGCGCATCACAGTTCTACGGTTGCGCATCTTGCCCTGATAGCAAATTTAAAATGAATATTACCAAGGTACAAATGTATAAGAGAGGAAATCTTCAATTGAAAAATACTCAAGATTAACTTGGTTTTTAAAATTAGAACCTAGTTTTCCATTCACTATGAGGAAGGGCAATGTTGTTAACATGTAAAGAGTACTGAATATCAAGTTTTGCAACTGGTTGCATCATTGCAATACCATCTTTTACCTTTGCAATGCCTTCTGGCTGGTCTACAACCAAGGGGTTCATCCTCTTTCTATCAAGAATCACTTAGGTTGAACCCTCCATCAGAACATAGAAATGCTCAACTGTTTTCAAATTCTTCAGTCCAAACTTACTTTGCCTGCACGGATCTTCTTCGACTCCTTGCATTTTTCTACATCTCCATAAGCATTTATTGACTTGAGGAGCTTCACTGCAGCACTAGTCTTCTGAAGGGATTCAATTCCATCTGAAACAACCAATGGAACCTCAGGGATCTCATCAACATGGTGACCACGAGCCATCACAAGAGCAGGGAGGGCAGAAGCAGCCAGGGCTGAGCACATAGCATATCGGCGCTGTTTCTGATTGATCTTTCGATGCCAGCGTCGCCAGGTTTTTGTAGGAGCAAACATACGTCCACCTCTACACATCTAAGTTGCAAGTAAAGGAAGTACAAAACTATTGCAGCAAACATACCGTAACTCCTAAATAGGGTGCATATAGTATTCCCATTCATAAGAAACCCCCTTCAGACAGCATACAATTATATATGGTCATAACTGCAACATGCACATACAGTGAGGACAGATTTGGGCCAGTCAAATGTTAGGATGAACTTCAAGATCTTCCTAGGATAACAACACAAGGTCAATTATTTGGTTGGCTGAGAATGTGGTTTGTGTTAAGTGACTTAGAACTCCTCATTTAGACACCAAAATCTATGAAAGACAAGAGTTCAACCATGAATGGGATTATCTTAACATTTGCATTCCAATCCAATTATAACATATTTGATGTTACAGAAAAGCATGCAATCTAATTAGCATTAATTAAGAACAAACAGAAATCTAACACAGGGTTAAAGGGAATTCAAGTTAAGGTAAGCCACATGCCTGGCATATTGCCAGATTAACCAAATTGTCAAATGCCACCTACATGACAAAAAGATAGCAAGTAACTGTGACCTTTGAAATCATAACACACTTAGACATGGAAATGCATGATGCACACCTAGCATAAATAGTCAGGAGCACAAGTTTAAAAAGAGCATCAGAGGTATGACAAAATTATTTCAAACTCCTTCAGTACAAACAAATGATTTAGGCCCATCACCATCTGGACTTTGATTTCAGGAAATTTAAACAATACATATGATGAAAAAAATTGGTTTGCATTAAATAATCTCAAGTTCAAGGATACATTGCCAAAAGCACCCTGGCCTGAGCGGTGTGTACCACCACCTCTCACACGAGGAATCCTGGCAACAGCACGACCAGTACCCCAGGACTCAGCAGATGTCTGATGACCTGCAAGCTTGTTCACAGCATAAGGTTGCCGTTTGTTCTTGGCCATGTTGGTGTGGACAAAGCCCACAACATCAGGACGAATGGGAGCTTTGAAAACAGCAGGCAGGGTGGTCTGTCCAACATTTTCTCCTGCCTCATCGTATACTGTTATTAATGGTCTAGCCGCCTAGAAGAAAAGACAACAAGCATGTATTTTTCATTCTTACATCATGGCTATCCATTTAATGTAAATTGGATGGCACAATTCTTACAGTGGCTGATGGATGGCTTAAAAGAGCTTCAGAAACTGTCTTAGGTGTCTGGGAACATAGTCACAGGCAGAATTTTTTGAAATGTACAGTCCTCAAAAATGACACACAATGCAAAGAATCCCAAGTTATTTTTACACTTGTGTCACACCAAATACACAAAATCCAGCTTCTTAAACTGGTTGTGTACCATTCTAGAGAGAAAAAAAGATGATAGACTTAAATTGAGTTACTCTAGTGTTATGGTCCCACTATGTTTAAAATTACACGAGACTTTATAATTTGACCAGAGTTTTATGATCCCACTCTGTTTAAGATCATATGAGACTTAATTTGACCACAGTAACTAAAAATAAGCTAAAGGCCTGTTATAAGGGACAAAACTATACAGCTTGATTGTTCGGGTCAGTATAGATTTTTGTAGTTAAACTATTTTCATGGGAACATATCCCATCTCTTCAGACACAAGCTCTACACATAGGAAAAATTTGAGATCATATAAGCTATTGCACTCATGAGTGTTTCCTACTTCAACAATTTTGAAGGAGAGACACTATTTGACCGTTGGTTAGACTTCAGGGGCCTCGAGGAAACACTTTAATGACAAGACATACATCATAAATTCCAAATAGTTTTAACAGACTGCACATGATTCACCACTACGGATGAAAAACGAAAATTCGTCTCTCATCTTTAGACTAACAACACTCTTCTTCATTTGCTATTTTCTTTGTATGTGTTTCAATAAATACAACACAAACCATGGATATATTTCAAAGGCAGCCTTATTTTCTCCCAGCTTATCTGATGACCAGTACATCTTTCTTCGTTTGCTCCGTCAAGAGCAAACTACCTTGGCAATTTTATACATAGAAGGACACAGTTTAACGTTCAAATTCAGAATTAAGCTTTCTATTCGACATCGTGAAAGGTTTAAAGGAGCATTTTCCGTGTGATCCCCCCCAAATTAAGTCTAAACGCAAGTTCGAACAGCACCGTAACGAAACTAAACGCAAAATTCCATGCCAAATATGTTATATTTTAGCGTCAAATTTGGTGAGCTTGCAGATTAGTTTATATTGAATCTAAATGATACGATAGGAAGTTTTGGCTGGGTAACAGATTAAAATAATTTGACTTTTTTGTCTTCTCACCCACCATTATATCGTAATTTCAAGATGGCCGGCGAAAGAGAGTGATTGTACCACGTGTGTAAAGATTAGTGGGGCTGCCCAGCGAATCTCGAAGGGTTTGTAGTGCCCAGATCCCCTCTTTTTTTTTTTTTTTCTTTTTTTACATTTTTTTATTTACTGTATTTTGGTAAGCTTGAACTTTCATTTAACACTCCCAGGTTTTTCGTGAAATCAACAACAAACTGCAGTAGTATTCTTTCAAGAGTTGTAAGTCCACAGTTCTCTGAATAGGGTTGTAATTTAATTCTAATTAAATCATCATCACATCAGCGATCTCTAACCGGAACTGAATATTGTGCATATATAAAGAGGAATCTATGCAAAGTTGATTAAATTGTATTTTAATTTTTCGTAACACTTAAAAAAAGACAAAAAAAATTTCAAGAGTTTCTAAATCAATCCTCATGTTCCACGATCTAGAGAAGCTCAAGATAAACTTGTGAGCAGTTTTGAGTTTTTCTCTCCTCAGGAAAAACCACATCAAGCACCTTATTTACACGGAGTACGTCAAAGTGGTAATCAGATTGTTACGTACAAGCTAAGCTAGTATACGATTGTATAAATGCACACTGCAAATGCAATCTTATTGATCAAGACACGAACTAAATGAGCCCTGCTCCACCTCACAACACGATCCACTACGTAGGTAGGATCCTTTTTCGAACAGACATTTTCGTGGATGATAGGGTCGATGAAATAGGGCTTCAGAACTATTAGAGTGTAAGGCATGTTAAATAAAAGCAGCCTAGCGACAATTAGCCACGGCAGACCACGGGTACGGTCCATGTAGTATAACACGACGACGGAGATCTAAGGGAATGCAGACAAACTCATCATCAGTCGTGCACAGCGATGGAAGCTCGTCAGCCATTGGCGATGGATTGCTACAGCGTCCTTCATAGTCATTCTTGATGGCTGCTCCACGGCAACCACATACACAGCTATTCCTGTCATCCTGAGCCCGCAAAGAAACGTGTTCACACACTCGACAATCGTGAAGACTTTTTCTGGGTTTACGTTCAAGTTTACTATTCTAAAAAATTCTAGTTTAAGCTCTCTTTGTGTTCTCTGACTACCAACTCACGCACATTTATCGTCGGACGCGGATCAACCTTTTCAAACAAATAAACACACCCTTGACTGGGTTACCCGTTGCGCGGTAGCGTGACATGGCAACTACAAAAGGCAAATTAAGTATGACACCTGCCCATTGTGTTACATTTGAAAAGAAAGCGTTGTACTAATGAGTAGAGTTCTTCTTGCCTAATAGTAATTAAAGTATACTTATGAGAATCATTATCTCTCCAGCAGGTAAAACTTCTGCAACTGTGACCAAATTCATTATGACACGGTTCGTTCGCGTTATTTCGGTTACTTTGCGCTTCAGTTAAAAAAAAAAAGACGAATGTTTAAGACTCATTCTATAGAGTGAAAGAACTGGAGAAATTTGAAGTTTCCCATAGCATCAGGAGCTCGAACGATTATCTGTAATAGTCGTCAAAGTAAGATAGATGAATAAAAAGACACCTATGATGAAAAATGCAAAGCTAGAATCTTCTGTCAAGATAGACCGAGCCATGGTGTAATTCTGCAGACTGCAGATAAAAGCAATTAAAAGCTGTCGCTTATCAAGGCAGGTTTGCTGGCTTGCAGCATGCATATCGCATAGGGAGTTGATAGGAGCTCGCTCAAGTACGCGTCACTGTTCCTGATCGTGCGACTCGACAGATAAACCTGAAAATATTAGAAGGGATGGGAAAACTTTTTGTTTTGTTCAATTTTTTTGTTTGTCGGTTTGTTTCTCCTTTAAGATGGTCATTCATTTAAGGAATAAAAGTTTCTGCAAATACGCCTCTCAGTCACGAGTTGAGAACGCGTGACAAAAATCAAATTATGCACGCGTATGTCATTAATATGTAAATCGATCTGTCTACATTTATTATTCAATTGAAAGGGCACAAATTAAGGTCTAGTGCGTGTTGGTACGAATCTGTGGAATAGTAGGCCGACTTTTCTTGAATCATGGACGCTGAAGATGTACTGAAGCTGATAAAATTCACCTCAACGGTAGCCACGGGTGTTATAGCTGGCGGTGCAATCTACATCAACCTTGCAGAGCATCCTGCAAGAATGCAACTTGATGATGTTCAATCGCTTCATCGCCAATGGCGAGAGAGCTTCGATCGAGCGAAGTACTTGATGGCCGGGACATCGCTGCTGCCGATTGCTGGAGGAATAGCAGCATTTGCTATCGATCAGAGCAAAGGGAAACCTTGGCTGATTACTGCCGGGCTGATGGCATTCAATATGCCGTACACAGCTCTCGCCATGAAGTCGCGCGTCATAGATCCCATTTATGATTATGAAGTTGCTGCAAAGATGGATCCCGGAAAAGTGAGAGACACTGTGGATAAATGGAACACTTTTCACAAAGTCCGCACCATAATAGATGTGTCTACACTGGCCTGGTGTGTGTACAATCTTGTTTACAACTGAGTGGCGGCCATGTTTAAAACTGAGTTGAATGGATTTTAAAATCAGGGACATTTTGTCGAATGGCGATAACCCTTAAATTACGGTGTATTGGGAGAGAATTTTCTTTCATATTCGTTTGGGATATATCTTTTCAAAGCGTTTGTCTGATTTATATTGAAAAATAGAAGTGTTCCAAGACGAGTGGGGTCGCTAATGCGTGGAGTGTTGTAAACCTGTACGTTAATTTGTGCAATACGGTACAGTGCAGATAATGGATCACAATAAAAGACGTCAAATGAGATACAATTGAGTTTTCATCTATATTTTTAAGTCAAGCAACAATTTATACTTTCTCGTGCCTCTTGCACCATGAGTTTAAGTCCGGAGAAAGAAATGTTAATTTTTTTGTCTCGACTTTCAGTGCTGTTGTTAGCTGTCAACTAAGCAGGTGTTTTTTTATATTAAATAGATGATCGGAGTGTCGCTAACTATGACTCGCTCGGTTAGGTTTTACAATCGTATACCCAAATTTTCTTTTTCTATGAAATTATTCATCTGGTCACTGAATTAAAAATTGCACATGTGATTATGATCCACATTAGAGTGGCGCAACGGTGCATAAACACCTCGCTAGAATATCAAAACAATGTAAAAACATAGGTGACGTGAAATATTCAAGTTTGAAAGATAAAGATCCCTTTTATTTTCTAATGATATATTCTGAATTAAGGAGCTCCCCCATTTTCAAATTGAGTTCCGTCTCCCAAAAAAATTAACAGACAGGCCAAACAAAGGCTCGTTGGGTGCTTTTCAAAATTCTGCGCCCACGCTATGTCCATGAAGCAGCTGTTGTGTTGACAAAGTGCGTTGGTCCTTGACGCGCAGGCAAAAGCTTTAGGTGTTGTACTCTTGAGCTCTGTTAGGGTTAAGTCAGATAGCTTTATAGAGGAAAATGGGGTTTGGTTTGGACGACTTGTTTCCATATCTCGAGGTCATTTCCACCGTTGCAGCGGGTATGTTTGTCGGAGGTGCGGTGTACATCAATGTTGTTGAACATCCCGCCCGAATGACGATTCAAGATACTTCATCTTGTCACAAAGAGTGGATGGAAAGTTTCGATCGAGCGAAGGTTTTCCAGAGTCGCTTGGCGTTAGTCTCTATAATTTCTGGAGCTGGTGCATACTACTGTAACCCAAAAAAGGGTCTTCCTTTCCTTGTCGGAGGAGGTCTGATTGCAACGATCTTCCCGTATACGCTGTTCGTTCTGAAACCAAACTCGATTGACCCCATTTACGACAAAGAAGTGACCGCCAGAAAGAGTGAGGGTGTCGTAAGGGAGACCATAGACAAGTGGAACAGCTATCACATGGTCAGAAGCATTATTACCTTTCCAGTTTTTGTGGGATACGTCTTGTACCTTTCCAGTGGCCATAAAAAGTTCTGGTGAAGATGGGGACAAATTGTGACAGTCACATGACATCATAAATATATTATGTTATGCAGTAGTTAGTTTTATTACGATCGAAGTTTGGATCTCTTTCACCTATGTAACCTGCGGGCGTATCGTTTATTGAAACAAAAGGGGGATTTTCCTTATTTTCTTAAATTCACAACATGGAATTTATCTACCTTCATCAGCTTTCAAGAGAGAGTGCTCAGTATTTTCTAGGTGAAAATTAGAGCTGCCATCTTTGATTTTTACAACAGCAGAGGCTGGGGGGGGGGGTGGGGGGGAGAGAGAGAAAGAAATTTAAATGGGGTGAGTAACATTCAGTAGGTGGTGGGTGGTGGTGCAAAAGAAATTACTTCTCTCATTTCCCTGCCTCCTTCCCCCACTGTCCTCTCCAACTATCAGTCAAACTTGGCTGGTTAAATAAATGTTTGTGAGCTTGGTAAGATTATTTGCCTTAATAAGACATCTGTACAGCGGACTAGGCTTGCAATCTGTAATCAACCTAGTGTTTGATATCATACAGGATATGGGATGGATTCATATTGGTCTACAATCAGATATTCCCTTTTTCTAAGGAGCACAAGAGTGCAGCAGCAGCTCAAGGTTCTTAACCACCAACTCAACACTGCTACACTTTTGTGCTCTCCTAGCTAAGATAGAACTCCTAATTGCTGGTAAGGTTTACTTAACCACTTAGGTCAATTTTTCTGTAGCATAAACATTTGTCATAGTAACGAGTTAAACTTCTAAACATACCCTAGGGGTCACTTTTTTTTTCTGCAGGTAGTCAAGTGTTTCAAGGCCCAGTTGTACAAAGGGCAGATAATGCCATTCAACAGGCCCTGGTTGTTTGAAGGGTAGATAACACTATCCACTGGATAAATTGTCATCCAGCAGATATTGTAGTGTGTTTTGTTAACACTTAACTACTGGAGAGCACTATGCAGCCTTTGAACGAGCGAGGCCAGACAAATATCTCTCCAGTGGATTGGAGTTAACAAAAGGCACTGTGCTAACCTCTGGATAGGGCTTTATACAGTGGATAACTGTTGAATAACTAGGGCCAGAGGTATAGATATTTTCATGTTGTGTTGTTGGAGACTAGAGGCATATGTAATAGTTAACAAGTTGATTTGCAAATGTGGGAAAAGTATGAATTTCTGTGAATTTTCCCTTGTGATGACTGATAAAAAGGAAACCATCTGAGAGGAAGGAAAGTTGGAGCAGCTGCCCCCAAGGGAAGGGGGCCACATTTGCATCTCACCAGCCTATAGCCCATGCAGCAAGTTGATTATTATTTTGAAGTTATGACTTTTTTCACAATAAAGGAGGTCATGTGCAAGTTGAGACCCACTCCCCCTTTCCCTCCCAGTTGTTTTCCTGCAATTCTTAAAACTCGTCCAACGAAAACTGATGCATCCAGTAGATTCTTGAAGTGAAGGCTGAAAATTTTGTAATGAATTTAAACAGGAATTAAGTGGTTATAAGCTTTTTTTTTGGTTGCAATATTCAATTTTATTCTACTTTGTTGTGTTCAAGAACACTCATGAAAACCACTGTTTCATTTTTCTAACTAACTTTCCCAAGGCTTTTTCTCAGAATTGAATCTATCGCTAATATTTTTGCCTTCTTCCACGCTTTTTGTTGAACCTATGCAGCGGATATAGCAAGGGTAGTTAAAAAGAAGAACTTTCGACCCGTCTAATCCTTAACGATATCTTGGACTGTTAACACATGTCTGCATATACTACAACAGCAAAAAGCTACGAAAAGGTTTAATGAAGAATGGAATTCTTGACTTCTCTTTGATTGTGACAAACATGAGAGGACCTGCAAAAAGAGGCATGTCACGCAAAACTTTCAGAGAGTAGCTTTGAGTCGAGAGTTTTTCAATGAAAATCGTCTGGCTTGTCGACATATTTTCCTTTTTTTAAGTAGGCATTCCGGTGCATGTGTTTTAGAACCTAAAAAGTGCAAGCTTGATTGGATTCTTGCTGATCCTTGCTCTGTATTTGGACCGACTAAGATTCCCTTTTCCCCCGCACTCGTCCCCTACCTTTCGATTTAAGGAGAATTTCGTCTCAGTCTTAAATGCTGACATGAGGACATGAGGACATGAGGACAGGCTGGTAAGTAGAGACGGGCACTAAACTCACGTCTCACTGGCACGGGGGGCATGGTAACTATCACTTTTTCTTGACAGGAAGGGTGTTCACCCATGACCCCGTACTCTCCTCTTTTCCTTCTACTCAGCTACACCCTTGCCAGTTCTTGAAATTCAGCCAAAAAAAAAACAACAACAACAGCAAAACAGAACAAAACAATTCGGCCAATTAAGTTAAAGTTAACAGTTCATAACAACTGGAAGATGGTGGTATCGAGCCACTTTATTTTCTGGCCTTATTACAGTCTTTTCATACTAATCACACAAAGTTCATCTACTTTTTCGTAAAGCTTAAAAGAGTCCTGCACCTAGAGATGTATGGCTCTTTTCAACAACGACAAGCAAATGGTAAATACATTGAAAAAACGGACTACTTGAACTTCAAACATCTGAGGACCTGCAAAAGAAAGGCATGTGAAAGGTTTCTGTTCGGATGTGCACTTGTAGCTGGAAAGAATATAAGGAGTATATGGTTTTCATCATCATTATTATTATTATCACCATCATCATCATTAGTATTATTATTATTATCATTATTGTTATTTCATCTTTGACGATCCGCTCTTTCTCTAACTTTCGAGTTGGCTTTATGTTCCTTACAAGAGCTCTTTTCCTAAACACTCCCTCTTTTTCTGGCTGGGTTAAAGCGAGGTATATAATCTCCTCTATGCGAAATTCAAATATAAAACTATTGCCTCAGTGGCAAAAAAAATAGCGAAGAATGATTACACGCCCACAAATGCATTTTTCTTTAAAACATAAGACACCATCAATAATCGTTATAATCAAGTGGACTCATTGCTGCTATTTTGTCATTAGTACGAAAACGTACCAGAAACAAAGAGCTTTTGTATCCAGGGTCTACAATGGGATCCAATCATCGGGCCGAATTTTCATCTCAGCCCTTTTCGCGGAGTAATGGTACCCCTTCCAGGTGCGCCAGTTTACCCCGTCAGCGTAGGAGGCATGGGCGCCATGATGGTAAGCGCCGTTCAAATTGGAAGAGTGACATTTCCCGTACCACCAAGCGCCATGGTACAAAACGGCACAGTTACTGCTGTAAAGATCATTGTCTTTGTCCTTTGTGGTGAACGACAAACTTTTGTGACCGGACAGCGAATCACCAGCAGTTCCTACAGTTGAAAAAAGATTTTTGGACCTGAGTTACGTTCGATCGATAGTTTACAAGCTCGCTAGGATTATTAAGATCAAGTTCTTATAGCAAGAGAGAGGAAGGAACTTATCTTACTACCCCGCCCCCCAAGAAGGTTTTTGTAGCGTATACTGTCGAGCCCTTAAAACCATGACCCTGTTTAAAACAAAAAAAACGTAAGAGGTGCGCATCGACCACATTGTGCCACGACGAAGTTACACAGAAAAACTGTTTACAATTTTGAGAAATCGCTAGTACCACACTTGTTAATAGCGCATCTCCGAATCGTTCACCCTCTTCAAAGGTTTTGGTTCAAAAAACACTCTGCCCAAGGCGCTAAACAATGGTATACCTTTTCTTATACTTAAGCAACTACACCCTTTACGGTAAAATACTGAATAATGAATAAAAATATGTATTTGCAGTAAATGACAATAGGTTTTTACCATGGTATGTTCCAAGGCTCAGTTGATAATTGGAATTTCCACTTGACACAGCAAAGTAATCATACGCAGCATAAACTTGGTTGCCTGAGGTATCCTCCAAATCCACGCGCAGTTCGTATCGCTTCTTGTTGTTAATAGTCAGACCGTGTAACTTGTCAAGTCCCAGCCAAAACTCGCCCTGCAGGTTCCCAAACCCCACCTGATAGTCATTCCACCCGCGGTAGAAATCAACGGAGCCGTCCAGTCTCTTCTGAAACACTGTCCAGCCTCCGCCATCAGTGGTCTGGTCACAGAAAACATCGAAGGGCTTTTGATCATGTGGGTGGATCGTGTACACATCGCTGGTTTCATGACCGCTCTTGTAGATATCAGCACAGTCTGTTACTTTAAAAAAGGATTAAAGAATCTTATTAGAGCTAGCTATCTAATACCAATTACTGGTCCAAATTGTGATTTGGTTGGTTTGGAAGATGATTCAGCACCTGTGGGCTGTAGTCAGAAAATCAGTGAAACAAACTTGCTAAGATGGTTTACGGGGAAAACTCTCTAGTCAGCTGTTTCTCCAAAATTGATCTACCGCGTAAATCATGAGAGAACTAGGGTGCAGAATGCTGGCTAAAAGGTCCCTACCTTGTGAACAGTTGTCGCCCTCTTCAAGAAGCAAATCGATCTTTTTCTCGATATTTTCGTTTTGCTGCAAAATCTTTTTCAAAAGTTTACAAACAGGACAGGGATACTTATCCTGTATCTCTGAAGGGGCCGCGTTCCCAACGGGTACTTCGCAGAGGACCGACAGAACAAAAACAACAAAAATTGCCCCGTAAATGTGCACAAACATTTTGGGAGTTAGCGTTTACCCGCGGGTCTCTGTGAATGGATTGAATAAAGTGTTCAATGCTAGCTGAAATTTAAAGAACAGTTGACGCGCGGACGTGCATCAATGGAATACGATTTGCTGTGATGGACGTCATATATACAAACCTGTCTTTAGTGGGTGCAAAGTGTATTTGTTCAGATGGAGGCCTGCGCTTAATCGTTAAATCCATTGGTAAAAGGAGAAGGGGGGAGGGAGAAGGAGCCTAGGCCAACAGATGGAGAAAAGTTTTTTTTTTCTTTTTTAATGGAATATTGTCAGAACACTAATAAATGATAGAAAAGCTTTTAGCCCGTGGGAAGTCGCACAGATGACCTTATCATTCTCACTATATCTCTTTAAAATGCACTAATATTTTTAGATTTAGGGTTCCTTTCCATGAACCTGTTCTCTTTCAATACCATCTGGTATAATCTTAAGCCAGAAGTTTATCATAGGCTTCTAATAGCAATTCTACATTAAGATGAAAATTTGCAGTTGACGCTTTAGAACTGATGTGCATTAAAGCGACAGCAGTGTAAACGCTGGGTGTTTTCTTTCATAGATAATAAAATACAAAAACGTAGGAGACCGAGTTCGCAGTAAGTAACGGCTCTTTCGGTTTCATGATTTTTTTGACTGTGGCTTTCCCAAGTTCCTTTCGATGGAAAATCTCTGTTTAAGCAACAACTGAAGTTGAGCTCAGGTCACGATCTTAACTTTACCTTGAAAGCCTGAAGTTCTGTCTATGATGAGGAGTAAATATTGATCGCAACTAAAATGATTAACGATAAAGCTAATTTATCTGTGGGAAGATGAACAGCTTGTATCCCAATAAATCTGGGAATAATTTTACACTTAAAGGATAACTCCAAGGTAAATACCAAGCAATTTTGTATTATTGGCCTGTTGTTTCTGTTTTGACTTGTAACAGTAGCCACACAGTGAAGTAGGATTCCCAGCCAGGAGTGAAAAGGAAACCCCCGAGAAATCTGTTGTTGTCTGCTGCCATTTTGTTTACAGGTAATATCTTTACTGCAATCAGCCAGATCACCATGTGTCCATCACCAGCCAGGGGGAGATAATGGCCAAAGATCACCCAAACATCAAAGTGATGTGTGGCACCTCTCCAAGTGGGTGGTAAAGAAGCTGACTAACAAAGCAAATCAAAGGGGATGTGAAGAGCTCTCACCATGGATACAAACGATCGCAAACCACCTATGGCGGTCTGCTGCAACCTGCAATGGTAATGTTTATGATCTTCGAGAAAAATGGAAGTCGGTGTTGAACCACATCATTGATAAGCACGTGTGGTAAGGAAATATTCATTTCCAATGATGCTGTCTTTGCAAAATTTCTTCCTCCGAAGCTAAGTCTGTTGGCTTTGCCAAACAGCCAAGCATTCTTAGCTTTAGAGGTAGTGGCCCTTAACACTTAACTGATGAAGGATACTGCCAAGATTACTGACTTATGCCACACTGGCAGACTCGAGGGTTATCACTCTATGATGCTCAAGTATTGCGCAAAACCTGGGCATTTCTCACACCTGGGCATAGTCGCTAGGGCCCGGCTTGCTGCTCTTGACAACAATCACAACTGGTTGTGGTCAAGCTGTAATCAAGTCAGGGGAACAGGAAGGCTAGGCACAGTACAAACTTTGCTTTCCCGAAGCAAACAAGCGATGGGTTGCAAAACCAGTAACCGAAAGAAATCGTGTGAATATTTTAAAGTTTTACTCTCTCAGGTTGTTCAGCGCTGTGAAGAGGGAAACATAATTGCCCAGGTAAGAATCTGAATTAATATTATTATTTTCAGGCTTCATGGTAGTTGCTTGGGCACAGCTATGTAAAAAAAAAAAAATTTTTCTGTCTTTTGTGTCTAGGCTAAATAGTCTAATTTCTGCCAACTTAGGGTTTAAAATATTCCTCTCAACATCCTCTGATTTGGGAACTGATTTGAAATCCAAATTGTTGATATAACTCTTACAGGTCTAGGAATAGATTTCCACTTGTTTCCTTGAGTTGAAATAAAGATAAGATTTATTGAAATTTTCAAAGATGTAATTAAAATGACAATAATAATAATAAAAGTAATAGGACATAATCTTCATATACTAAGCAATCCGGAAGTAATTCTTCTGCAACACAAATGCACTCCTTGAGCGGTTTAGTGGGCTGCTCCTACCAAAATGATTCAAATGATTCAAACTACACCAACGAAGTTATATTGACATATGCAGTGCGTTGTTCTTTGAAAAGAAAAGAACTAGCTTTCCATTGAGCTAAAGAGAGATGTATGAGAAAATCAGGAGAAAAGTGATGAAATTAAGAAGGGACCAAAAATAGTCTTTATTTCTCTTTGACTTATGTAACTCCAAATAATAATTTTCTAACCCCTCTTTGCAGGGTTGAAATAAAATGGAACAGTTCCCTACTGGAGAGAAATCCTGAGATGAAATTTGTGGTTTAATACTATTTTTCCATAGCTTTCAAATGTGCACAATTTACTGTGGACCTTAAATGAGATGAATAGGTTTTTTTGGAAATACCACACAAGTTGAATAGTTAGTAAACTGACATAAGGTGGAGAAATCAAAATGGCAAAAATGTATGGTAAGCATTTTCTTACGGAAATAATCCCATCTTTCTTTTCAACAGATAACTGCAACTTCTTGATACTCATACATATCTTTCCAGATGCTATTTCTTCAATTGCTGTTTTCACTTGTTTGAAAATACAGCAAAACATTACATGTTTCATCTTTTACTTACATGGTGACCAACAATTCAAAAAAGATTTTATTTTTGTTTCAGAATACAAAGTTGGAAAGATGTCATTACCATCAACTTAGTGTCATAAAACCAATCTTTGCTGCCAAGTTATGTAATTTTTGTAGAACCTGCTTTTCTTACTAAAATTAGTTCCATTCAGGCACCTATAACGTGCAGTGAAGCCATTTTGTTTCAACTGGGCTGCTCAGAGGTGAATTGTAACTGGCTAATCACTTCCAAGCTAGATAATCAACATGCATGAAAAGTACTATTTACTTGTGTGGTATAAACTAATCTATAGCAATCACAAATTTTACTATATTAAAGGTGATGGATGTGTCTCCCTGAGGTTTTGTAGATTCAATGTCTCAATCAGCCAGGTGGCCAGGACATTTGTCGTCCACCAATAACATGAATATGAAGGTGATACACTGATTGAGCACCATCACGTCCATTATTGATCACTGAAATGAAAATATCAAGCAACTAAAGAACTATACAAACATGTCAGCTCTTGGACTGAGCTTTGTGCTGTAAGGAATTCTCTGACTAGAGGTACATGTAACACAAAAGAGGTTCCAAGTGTGCAACAATACAATTCAAGAATTGAGTCCTCTTACCAATCCTATATCCACTATCTTTCAGGTTTTCTTGCTCAGCAACTTTCTTTGCTACCCACAGCAAATGACCTAAAAGCTTTATAGGGATGAAATGGAATAAAATAATAATGATAATAAAACAATGTTACCATCAAAGCATAAAAATTTCCTTCCTCATCCTCAAGTGAAGTAAGTAATGTTATTATGGAAGCATCCAGATCATGGTTTTCAGGGATTGTTTAATGGTCAAATTTTAGAACTCTTTGAGATATCAAGAGCCATAATTACTTTTTATACCGAGACCTTGTTGGGTATTAATTTGAGTCTCTAAAACAAGAAAAAACACTATCACAGACCTAAAGCAAAACTTCTGTCTTGGTTCATTAACAAGGTATCCATGATTTGAAAATTATATCATCAGTTTCTCAGGCCGAAATAAGGTTTCCATTTAATTCCTCTTTGTGTACATACAGCAATCAATCAGCTATTGCTTATGGCTTAATGGATGAATGAATTGCATGACCAGCTGGAGGAAGCAAAATCAATCAGTTATCACTTATCACTATATATTAAATAAATGAATTGTGTGACCAGCTGGAGGAAGCAAAATCAATCAATTATCACTTATTGCTATATAAATAAATGAATTGTGTGACCAGTTGGAGGAAGCAAAATCAATCAGTTATCACTTATTGCTATATAAATAAATGAATTGTGTGACCAGTTGGAGGAAGCAAAATCAATCACTCATCACTTATTGCTATATAAATAAATGAATTGTGTGACCAGCTGGAGGAAGCAAAATCAATCAGTTATCACTTATTCCTATATAAATAAATGAATTGTGTGACCAGCTGGAGGAAGCAAAATCAATCAATTATCACTTATTGCTATATAATTAAATGAATTGTGTGACCAGTTGGAGGAAGCAAAATCAATCAGTTATCACTTATTGCTATGTATTAAATAAATGAATTGTGTGACCAGTTGGAGGAAGCAAAATCAATCACTCATCACTTATTGCTATATAAATAAATGAATTGTGTGACCAGCTGGAGGAAGCAAAATCAATCAGTTATCACTTATTGCTATATAAATAAATGAATTGTGTGACCAGCTAAAGGAAGCAAAATCAATCAGTTATCACTTATTGCTAAACAGATAAATGAATTGCGAGACCAGCTGGAGGAAGCAAAATTCTTTGAAAAGATAACATAAATGCTCTTATAAACCAATCAAGATGCTCTTGGTTGCTTGTACCAGAAAAGAAAGGGGTAAATACTACTTTGATTTTCAACACGAAAAGATTCCCCAAGAGGATACACCAAATTTGAAGTGATAAGAACATATTGAGGGTTAAAAATTAATGATTTTCAAACAAATGAAAACAGCTTGATCATAAAACATAAGAATATTGATGAACTGGTCAGAAAATGTTTTCTATTTAAGTCACTTCCTAATCATGTAACTTAGGTGACTAGAATGAGAAACTTCATTTGGAAGACAAATGTTCAGTCAGAACTTATTGAGGATCTAGGTCAAATTCACTTTATTTAATAAGCTGAATTATGCGCACATTTTGATTGATTCTTATTTATAATCTATTTGAGGACAGACCCATAGATCGTGTCATCATTAACAAAAATTAGCTTTTATATCAAATAAAACAAATTGATATCATGTTGCAGTGCATCTGTTCAGGGAAAGATCCTAGAAGCTGTGCCTTGTGTGCCACTTTTGTTGTTCCCACCACATTTTGATATCATCTGTGATGTGAATCTATTTGTAATCATATAATAAGCTTAATTTTATATGCATTTTGATTCATTCTTACTTATGATCTATTAGAGGACAGGCACATAGATGACATCACCATTTCATCATATAAAATGAATAGTTTCCATTTTCCAAATGCACAACAAAAGAGAATTAGTTCATTTATCTGATGCTCATAACCATATAAACCACTCCTAACCTTAATATTTCAAGCCTACTCTGCAGGATGGATAATAAAGACTCTTGGTACTTACAGGAATGTCTTCTTCAGTGCTTGCCGCTAGTTGTGTTATAGGTTTACGTGGAATCACCAAAACATGTGTGGGTGCCACAGGATTGACATCGCGGAAAGCAATAGCCTGTTGACATATCCATACAAACATTACAGTACAATAATTGATTCACTGCTTGTGATAAAACCAATAGATCTCTTTAAAAAGTAAAGTCCTGCCATTGGTTATAATTGTGTGTGTACACTGCCACATGTATAGCAGCTTTACCATGAATAGTTCTTTTCATGTGCTACAAGTATGTATGCAAATTACAAGTGCAAAACACTCAAATGTTTGTAGCTATTGTATGTTTCGTCCATGATCAGTGTGACACAATCAGTCTACCACAGCTGATTAAGTGCCTATTACAAAATGAAAACAGATTTATTCACACTAATTGAGTTCAGAATCCATCTAGTATTTTTTGCCAGCATGAGCATAAACTGCTGTATATACATATTCACATTGGAGTCAAGTCAAAAGCAGTTTTTCTGTCTAAAGGGGGTAGATTTTTAAAGTAATTGTGGTGCTGCATTAATGAGAGTAAAAAAATAACATAGTTTTATAAACTGAGTTAATAATGTAGATTGGCCCCAATTAAGAGCTTTTAAGCTGATGTTTCGATTAGCCTCTCTTCAGAGCAAATTGAATGTTTTTTCTGTCTGCTCATCTAGGACAGATTCATTTTAACACTAATCAATAATACAACAACTAGCAACTTATATTAGTAATATAACTCTGCAAGGAGTTTTAGCAAACAAATAAAGTTGATCATAGACGCTTTTAACTGTTTCCTACCATGTGACAAGGCCAATTTCAAGACACTATATTGAATGATCTATGCCCTTGGAAAGAGAGAACTAAAATAAAACCAACAACCTTAATATTTACACACTAGGTAGCCTCCCAAGTTTTACAAATTATTGAAAGTTTACGACATCCAGTATTTGTTGTGACCCCTTATAATATATAATGGAATAGTTACAGGTAAACATTGAATGTAAATCTCTTCCACTTCATTGTTTTGTTTGTTTCTTTTTGTTGATATTGAGGTTTATGAGACAAATTATGTGGGAATTTAAATGGAAGACATGATAATAAGGACAACTCAAGCACAAAGAACAACTTGAAAACCAATAGCAACGACTATGTTAATTAATAAAGTTTTCCTTAGTAAAGTCCTAAGGCTATTTAAATATGAGTTTTAAAAGAAGGGAGCAACTGCAGAATACCCAGCCACTCATTTACATGTCATTGAATAAGAATGGTGTCTATTGTGATATGCCTCGATCTTCATAGCCTCCCGACACATGTAAGTGTGGCGGACCAAAGTGGCCGGGTATTCTGAAGTTTAGCCAAAAGAAAGAAGGGGTGAAACTAGTTTGGGGAGAAGGGGGTAGTTTTAGGTAGATGTAGGCTTCTTGAGGAATAACCATTGAATCATTCACCGAATTGCATTAACATACTGACCTTATCGTCTTCATAAATTATATCAGCAGGAATTTCTTTTCGCAAGATCTTGCCGAAAATTGTGTCTTGGGGCTGATATTTCTCAGCCGCCACGGAGGCGAGTTTGGCTTTCTCAACTTCATCATTGCACTTTCCAGTACTGCAGAACTCGGCCGTAAGTATCTTTGGAGCTACACTCAGAGCTGCAGCCGCTGTTAAAAAGAGTCTACTGGCGTAAAAATTGGTTCGGCGTAATATAATCGAAGCCATGCGTCGACTCGATAAATCTTTAGACTTTCTGAAAATACAAAATTCAATTGTTCAGCGGACAAATCACAACATAGAATATTGGGTTGTGTAAAGAACACTTCGCGTTATCGTCCGTGGGGTCTGGGACCCACTAGTTGGACGTTGGAGCTTGAGAGGAAGTTTGGGGCGTATGGTTGGTTAAGGATCAGACGCGTAGAGAAGCTAAATCAGGACTTTCTGTAAGGTACAAAGGCATTCTTACTTTCGGGGTAAGGTGTGATGCACTGGAAGTGTAGCAAACTTCTTTAAATCTTCATACCATTTCAGACATAAGAGATTGATTGTCCCTGATCTATTTCAGAATTAAACCGAAGTTACAAGAAGGAACTATGAAAAAGTTGGGTCATGACTGAACATCGAGCACAGACCACCACTTTTCCGTACCTCGTTGATGCAGCTAAGATCCTTCCTAATTCGCTTTCTACTTCTGTGTGATGAGATCACTATGGCAGTTGGGGATCAGCTGTGAAAAAGAGTGCGCGAATGACGATCCTTCTCACTGCCCTGGCTTTCCAAGTATTAAATCAATAATGTTCTAACCTGGCCTACTAGTTTAGGAATCTTAGTGTCGGTGATGTCATGATGCCTGATATCTCCATGCAGCCAGTTGCCCAAGTGAATTGAAAAATCACAGCGATTGGTGCAAAAAAATAGTCTGTCGCACCAGCACTACTAAATAGGAAAATAGGCTCGCGATCCATTGGCGATAAATCCTTCGATTGAGATCAAAATGCAGTCTCTTCACTAAATTATTCATTCATCAACATGAAAGAAAATTATGTGCTACATATGTTATGATTTAAACGTAAAAAGTAAAATCAAGCCAAGTTGAGATTTTTCTTTCTATTTACAGGAAGTGAGGCAACTTTCTTGAAACCTTCATATCATTTCAGACTTGTAGGATTGATTGTCCCTGCTCAATTCCCGAATTGAACCGTAATATTACAAGAGGCAAACGATGAAAAACTGGTGTCATTAACGGGGATCAAGCACAGACCCCGGTTCCAGACAGAGTGAATAAAAATGTACTCTATTTCAGTCCCTTCCGGTTAGATAGTATGTAAATGGTGACATGGTGTTCCAGACAAAAAAAAGAGCCAAAAAAAATACCGACACGTACCTATTAGGATAAAATAATTACTGTTTATTTAATAAGCATAATCATACAGGCATTTTAATGTGTTCTCACTTATGAACTACATCGATGAAGTCACAACAGCAACAAAATCTTGCTTTTTTATTACATATAACATGTAGTATAGAAATTTTAAATGTGGTAAGAAGATCAATGACAAACTCGGCTGCACCTGGTTTGCCACTTTTTTGTTCTTACCACATTTTGAATTCATCTGTGATCTGTTTCTGAACAGATTCACGGCAACATGAAAGCTGTTTGTCAAATTGTTGATCATTTTGTTACAGAGAAAGGACTATTCTAGCAAAAACAATTACATATGAATTTTATTTCAATACGAGTAATGAAGAAACTAGAAAAAAGCTAGCTAGAAAAAAGTTATATTTCGGGCATTTAAATTTTAGCGGGTACAATTTCCTTTTTCACTGATTCTGGACCTGGTGAAGTAACATTTATCTGATACATGTTATTGGCTACTATAGCCAGATATCAGAGGAGCAATCTCCCCCCGGATAACGAACTTCATGAGCTAGGGCTGCACCGTCGGGTTCGTCTCCAAAATCAACACAGAAATCAGGATTTAACTTGAGGCCACCGTTAACATTATCGACATCAAACTGCAGTAGCATAGAGCCTTTCCTGCGAGAAAAAAATAAAATGAAGTAACGATGAGGGAAAAACAAAAGTAGTTGAAGACAAGAAAGGGTTGATCGTTTTACATTTTAAGGAGAAGTATTCGGTCGAGTCAATTTTTCTTCTTTCGTATTTCTGATTAATTTTTTTACTTTCTTGTTTTTTCCTGACCAAATTTTTTATTTAATTTATCCTATATTCATTTCATACGTTCAGTATACTTAAACATTTCGAAAGAAAATAGATCATGTGTAAGGATTAGTTGACTGGCTCCCCATGCTAATCTTTGCTCGTGGTGATTCAATGGAAAGCGTATCAAGAAACTACCGCGCGGAACTGAGAAGCAGTTTGTCACTTTTTCTATACAACCGATTAATGAAGTTTCACCATATCCTGACCCTTTGCACTTACTTAACGAGGTCAGGATAGAACTGATTGTCCCAAACGCTGTATAGTGATGTTGTGACGTAAAGCCGTTTTCCATCCAAACTCAGCTGAATCATCTGCGGTCCTCCTTGAACTCGCTTCCCTTTCACGTAACATGGCTCAGGCTGTGCGCTCAGTTCAGAATCCTCAATTACCTTCACTGGTCCGTCACTGACGATGCTGCCTCCGGCAAACACCTGAAACACAATAAGCGCCCCAAGGAGGCACGAAGAAAATAAATCTTTCGGACCAATGTTCAACAGTTATCGTAAGTATCGAATGATGCATAGTCCATATCACAAGAGTTCCCAAGATATATTGCTGTCCAACGGAGTTTGAGGACACTTACGGCGATTTATCTGATGAAAGTTCAAACAACCAGGTGTAATGTCTTCAAGGGTTTTGTGTGAAATTTCACAATTAAAATATAACTTAAGATGCATTCATAGCTTTACAACACCGGAAGCAATATTGTTCTGTGGACTAGACAACGAGGATTCCTTTCCCCCCCTCTTTGTTCATCGTGGGAGTTAGCCACAATCAGCCTAAACTTAGTCGGTGCAAGGTTAACAATTCAAGCGAAAGACGCCCAGAAAAAAGGGTACTAACTTCTCCTACTTCTACTTTCGGAGGTATAGAGACGCAACAATACTTTTCCGAGCCTCCTTGAAACAACTAAGATATTTCCCAAGGTACATATTCAAGTGGCATTGAGAGGATCTGTGTGAGAGGGTGTAAGAGAGTACGTGAGCGAAGATCCTTCTCACTGCCTTGGCTTTCAAGTATTTTAATCAATAATGTTCTTACCTGGCCTACTAGTTTAGGATTCTTAGTGTCTGTGATATCATACTGCCTGATGTCTCCATGCAGCCAGTTGCCGAAGTACAAGTACTTGTCGTCGAGCGAGATAAGAATGTCTGTAACCAGACCTGTGGAAAGGAAACCGCCTCGCTATGATACGTTTCCTTAGAGGAGTAAGTAAAGATCCAACTGCATTTTATTTCCGGCTTTCGAATGCTCTTCCCTTCTTCTTTTCCTTTGTGTTATCACATCCATAAGTTCGTTCATTCGTTTATTTCTCTATACATTTCCAATTTTTAAGTGACAATTTATCATAGAAGTTACGAACAAACGCATTATTTAGACGTCTTGTAGAAAGCCTCAACAAGTTCAGTTGGATTATTTTGAGACGTGAATCATTAAGTCTGACCCACCTGGCATTTCCGGTAGAGCCCAGCCCTCCACTTTCTTAGCTGGGACTTTGATTACGGTCTCTGCACTCCAAGTCTTTTCCTAAACGTTTAAAATTAGCGTTTTCAATTAGTTGGTAATGCCTGGTTCAACATAATTTGATTAGAGCAATTTATTCGATGCTGATGAAACCTGCACTGAGAGAAACTCTATACAAATCAGACTTTGTTTTCATTCATATAAAATGAATTTGCAGTACCTACACACCTCAAACCAAGAGGTTATACTCTATTTGTCCAGACAAGAGAATAAAATGTATTAAAAGGGTTTCAGTATTTCAGTATTTATTTGATAAAATTGTTTTTTAAAAATCAAATCACGCTTGAATTATTGAAAAACAAATTATTTTCATCATTTTGCACACAAACCCAAAATTAACAAAATTTTATGCTTAATCTGGTTTAACTGTCGATTGTTTTCCTAGATGGGAACATTTGTTAGTTTTATCCAAATAACTGCGATTTACTTAGAGGGCGCACCTTATATGAGAGAAAACTGTGTCGTAACATATATAACGAACACTCACCTCATTTTGAAAGAATCTCACAACGGTGCTGTTCAATGCACACCCCACAAATCCTTGCGTCTGATCAGGATCGTGCATGAACCTGATTTCTAGAGGAATCGTACCCATTCCTAAGTCTATGGTCTGTTTTATGGTTCGTTCGTTCCAGTCCCACACGTGCAAATGCGACCCGTATTTTCCTGAAGACAAAAAGTAGCAAACGATTGCGAAAAACGAAAGCTGTAAGCACTAGTAAACTAGTGAAATGTAAGTGTACTAAAGGGAATTATCGATTGAAAGTATGAGCGAGAGAAGGAACGTACGAACGGACAAATACACAATCTGCACACGAGCAACATGGCTCATCCTACCGAAGCTCATCCCGGTTTTCACTCTACGTTTGTTACTTTTCCCCCTGAAATGGACTATAGTAAAGGACAACTTTCTTAACTTATTCCTACACTTTCAAATGGTTCCCTACAGCTAATTCATACCCATCGATACTCTTGGTTAGACTGAGGTAGTGTGAGAACAAAACAACTACTCAGGCTCAGATCAGGAGTCCAGCGTCCTAGAAATATCATGCCAACGCATCCCCCTAATTACGACTTTAAAAACAGGTACAAACCAGGGAATGAACTAAACGCTCTTAGTCTCAATAGAATTTTCTATCGGCTTTGTGGGTCACTCGAATTTTTGCCCCTTTATTTTCTACTAATACTAAGATTCAGTCGCGTTCACTTTCTTACTTTTGATCATTCCAATTTTCTAACCTGCAGCCACGTCCTCAATCTTAAATCCAAGTTCTAAGGCGCTTGGCACTCCCCACTCAGAGCTAATCATTACATTGTGTCGAGGCTGATACCAAAAGTCGTATCCCATGGGTGCTGCGTTTTCACTTCCACCTTCCCAACGTCCTTTGACCTTGAAAGTCTCCCCGTCCAGAATAACGAAGCCCCCTGAAATAATGATATCATGATTAATGTTCCTTTTTTTAACTGGACTTTCATGTTGAAAAACGAATTTCAGTGAGTAGAGCGGTCCAGGGTCAACTGAAATACGAATATTAGACTGACTAAATCATTGTTGAATATTTTCATTCATGGAAATGTGACAAATTCCTTAAAAATAATGGCGAAATATTTTCAGGTTGTAAGCCTTTTCAAGCCTTGCAGTTTTATTGGAAATAAAGAGTAATCTCCTACCGTTGGCTCAAGTGACGTAATGTTTGAGTAATTATATATACCAATACCTTCGGCTTTTCCCTCCGGCGAACCTAAGGCACTGATCATGATCTCGCCACTACCCAGGCAGTGTGATGTATGAAGGTAGGCCAGGCCTGTCTTCTCAAATACTTCCTCTGGTTCAACAATCTGTAAGTCAAAATGTTTGATCTATCCCAGAACAGCAGTAGATTCCATTATATTTCCCATGATGCATGAGCCATCATGGGCCAAGACATATCGGGAGACTTACCGTATCTTTCCAGACTGCGCGCGAACAACTAGGCTATCGAGAACACCTAGAAACTATGATAAGGTCATCTCTGTAAAGGCTTGCGGCAGCGAAAGTTATCATCCACCTCATCTAAGCTAGCTTCCAACATAGAATTCCTGTACGCTTTAACACTTAGAACGCGCAGAAGGCTAATCAAAAGCTAGAATGGTCCGAACTAAACTGTTCACACGCATGGGCAGTTTGGCTGGCAATCAATTGTGCTGGAAAGACTACAGCTTGAGACGCACTAATCACGGCGATTCAGATGAGCGTAATTCCTTTGTTATCCTTACCTTGTGAATACGCGGTGCTCTTGGGTCAGATTCAACATCAACAATGTAGATCCTGCTGGTTGTAATAGACGGCATAATCAAGCGGTTTCTTTTCTGGTTGGGATCTCCATGGCAGCTGAAATAGAACAAAGTTTCAGGTGTTTCATTAAAAGCCGCCTAGGACCTTTACTACCGCCTGTAAGACCTCCACTACCGCTTGTAAGACCTCTACTACCGCTGGTAAGACCTCTATTGCTGCCTGTAAGACCTTTACTACCGCCTGTAAGACCTCCACTACTGCCTGTAAGACCTCTACTGCCGCCTGTAAGACCTCTACTACCGCCTGTAGGATCTCTACTACCGCCTGTAAGACCTTTACTACCGCCTGTAAGACCTCCACTACCACCTGTGAGACTTCTACTACCGCTTTTAAGACCTCTACCACCGCCTTTAAGACCTTTACTACCGCCTGTAACGCTCCTGAAACGCTCGCACCATCAGTACATGATTATTGCTAACCTATTAGAATTTGTTCAAAATTGAAAAAAAATTGGATCCAACTGATAACTTTCCAAGTTTTTACAACCTAGGTGTGACTCGTTAGGCACGTCCTCGCCTTAATGTAATTGGGGTAGAAAAAAGCAATGATCACAATCGCAACATTCAGTGTTCATTTATTCTTCAGTGTGCCAACAGAATGAAGGCCCTAGTTTCTTCTTGAGACCAACTGACCTGCTGCAGGCATTCCAGCCACTGTGATGTAACTCGTCTCCTATATAAGGAACCTTCAAGCGATGAATAACCTATCACAAAAATTCTAAATTAATTGCAAAATGAAATTAACCTTTCAATCAATTTTTGCCCATCAGCATTTTCTTTCCTCCACTCCTAATTAATCCTCAGTTTGAAGCTGTTTTTTAGCCCACTTAAATTCCGCTTGAGAGCTAAGAGAAAACTCTAGTGAGGAGCAAGGGAAAGAATGAGAGATTGCGTCACCAAATTAGACACTAGTTTTTACTGAATCGAATTCAAAGCCAAGCAGCAGGAACCGTTCGCCCTCCGTTATCTGCTCTCCTTGAAGTCCCTGAGTCAAAACACGAAACTTTAAGTGAGAAGGAGAAGAAAAGATTGAGTAGAAGACTGCGGGATTTCTAATGTTAATCTGGAGTGAACGACAATGTTTACCTACCTGACTGTAATTAGGGGAGTCTGGATCTGCATCAACAGTGGCAAGATAGTCCGGCTTTTGTATCCCCGTGTTACTCAGGATGCATGGTAAATACAATAATTTCTCTCTAGGACCTTTCATAGCGTCCTGTGGGGAGGCATAGCCCGGACCACATTTGCAGTGATCTGTGGGAAAAAAGACAACAGTGTAATGGAGGACGGTCTGGTGAGGAGGATCTTAATCTCTCCAAATCTTTTCTGTCTTGAGGCTACTAGGTTACATATAACACAAGGACACACCAATTATGGAAGGGAGGGCAGCGGTGCTGTAAGAGAATAAATTACAAAGTCTCGAAGGCTTATTATCCTAAGCCTGTTTACGATGTTAAAATTACATCGCGCGTATGTGAATTATTTTAGAAATAGATATCTTGTTGACCTATCGTTTTTCCCTTGTCATCTGAAAAAAATGATGTACCACATCTCTTTGTTTATACTCCTGTTATACAGTTTTTTAACAGATACGTAATGCCGCTTTCATTTCTTTTACAAAGTACGTTAAGTGCAGTTTTAGCTTTTTATAGTAATAGACCGTCGAATGCTGAAATGTTTATGCAATCAAAATGCATTGTGCAGAACCTGCTCTTTACGACATATTATATATCATCTATACTAACAGCGTGTTAGAGGTAAAACTATTATTTCGAAAGACCTTCGCTTCCCTTTTCATTTTACTTCGTGAGCAACGCTTAGTACTGTAAGTTGTTTGCGAAAATTCGTATTTGCAAATTGAACAATTTAAGGTCTCGTGAAGTAACTGAAGCTTGAAATAATCATATGATCGCGAATCGACTATCCGTAGATTGTCAGTTGAACTACAACTAAATTGCTTACCCTTTCCTCCTTAAACAACAATCTACATGAAGGAGCTTAAAGTTAATTCAATAAATGACAGCAATGCCTTCAGTCTCAGCTTAAGTGTGCAAGTACGCGCTTGCATAACGATTCATAACAGAGGAAGAAAGTCGTTTTGTGCGCGATGAAAAGAGAGAAACAAGGTTGAAATTACTCCAAAGTTAAACCTATTACGGCTCAGCATTCGGACCTAGCTGCGTTTGCTCTTCGCTCATTGTTTCCTTTAATCTGCGATTAACCTTTCGCCGGCTGAAGCTGTGTGGACATTTAATTAAACCATGTGGATGAACTGCGAGGTTCAAATCCGACGTGCACATGGAATTTATAATACCCTTATTACTTGTTAGCGAAAGAAAGGACCTTTAAAAGATTACATTTCCACAGCCTTACAGTCAATTACCTCCATTCATAGTTGCGCGGAAGGTTAAAATGAGCAGATTCTGGATCTTTCTGTACAGAACGCTTCAATCGACAATAGCTTCGCTTCAACTCGATCAGCAGTGCTAGTGGAAGCTAGCAGCTGCAGATATACTTTGTTCAGCGGGTGCCAGGACATAATTATCATATAATTCAGACAGCTTAGCAGACCTTGGTCAAAATTAGTGTACTTTATTGGTAAATTTAGCCTAAATTTTACAAATAAGTTTGTGTTACTCTTTTCTATCTCCTCAATTACCCTCTTTCGCATTTCTTTTGTATATCATTTTCTTCTTCTTGTTTTTCCGCCCGTAAACAAAGGATTAATTCATGGTTTTATTCCATTATTCCATTAATGTTGTCATCTCGACAAGACTTAAGATGACTTAAAACAAAAATAATTATGTATTCCTTTAAATTAAAGTTAAATGGCTTAAACTCTTGTGATATGCACCCACGATTTCCCCAGCCTGTGTAGAAGCCTTCTCCGTCAAGTTTGGCGTAAAGAGAAGAGCTTAGAGCCGAGCTGGAGTCACGCGATAGCCAGTGCGTAAGGACTGTAAAAGAAAAATTTACCCCAGGCTTCGTGTAACCCATGTCCGCTCTCTCAGCTTCTTTGAAAGGAAATGGAAAATACTGTCATGTACGCTTCGATTTACCTTTCTCTAAATACGATTGTCCTAGGATGACTGTTGATTAAAATTGAAACAGTCCGGTGAAAAGTCACGACTCTCGAGAGTAAGAGGTAACTGTTGCGAGCCCAAATTTAAGCTTGAACATGTCAGTTAACCAGTAAATCAATCAATATCTTTCTGCATTCCTGGTCACAAAATAATCAGGTGGGATAAAAACTAGTCATCATCTGAAAACATGCCATAATGCTTGCAAGAAGTTAAAGTAGCGTATGTCCACCATGTTGTTTTCGTCTCAAGCTCGTGCGCGGCAAAGTCTGGATCCAACACCGTGACGTAATCGTTGTCAAAAAAAATAGCCTCCGTTTTCATCCGTCCGCAACAGCAAGAGATCGTAAGAGACTGTTAGTTTTAGTTGCAAAGTCTGGGATTTTTAACAGTCTTTCCCTTGAACGGCTCAACATTAAAACAAAAACGAAAAAAGAATCAGTAATAAGGATTTAAATGAGGATGAATTCACTTTAAATGAAACGAAATGGGCTACTAATGTGGCTGAAGCAGAAACTTATTTTTTTTCATTTTTTTTTTAGATGGGCAAGATGGACCACTCCCTTTGGATTATAATGTGGTCAGAAATGGGACAATAAAGTGCAAAATAAAAAAATTAGCCGTTTTAAGAGACTATGCAATATAGTCTTATACGACGCATGCGCACCGTAGTATAATGTCCCACAAGGAAAGCAGTTCTTTGCTTGTCATCAAATTACGTATTTTTCTTATTGATCAAAAGGGCCTTTGCCATCACTGGCACGTGAGACCCAAGGGGCTCGCGCGGAATCGCCATCCAGAGATTTCGGAGGCATAATCTTTGGACTCCCGTGGCAGTTGGTAGCCTCTAGCACCGACGCCCACATCATCATACAATAACCACGAGCAAGTAAACAATACTTGGTCCTCTTACCGTGAACTAACTTACTTGATTTATGAAGCTTGTCATTCCACATTGTGCGTTCACTCTACTGCTAACAATTTGTTGCCGAACGTGAAAAGCGGAAAACTAAAGTTTCTTGAGGAGGACGATAGATTTTCAAACCGAGTATCATAACTTTCTTCAACGAGAGAGTGATTTTAACCCCAGCCTCCAACTCACGCGATCCATTGGGTACAAAGTAAAGTTGCGTGCAAACTTATTTGAAAATAATCCACGTTGGCCGGTCCATGGCACGTCTTATGCTTAAAATTGGTTTAGTTCTATAAGCGAAAAGATTCTCAAGAGTATCAGTCTGTCAAAAAAGCCGCTCTCGAGGCGTTCTTCCACCAGTCTCACCTCTTTACTCACATCAAGACCGGTAAAATCAAACCAAATAATTTCAACACCAAGTATGCGACATTTTATTTGCTAAACTTATTATGATCGCCTTGGCCCTTTAATCTTGTTAGCCCTTAAATGAGATTGGATCTTACTCAATCCATATGTCATCAGCGGAAGTTTTTTTCTAAAGGAGGGTATTTTCATTGTTTTTATAACAATTGGCTTAGATTTTCAACAAGTTAGGACCTAGAGGGAAACAGCCCAACCCAGGCTCGAAATCCACTTCTGTTTGAAGCAAATAGGATTTTTATGGACCAATATCAGTATTTTCAACATCAAGTCCAAGCATCTTTAAAGCAATTCAACGTTATCTTTGCTGGTTTACTTACGTGGTTTTCTGCGTCACAGGATCCGAAATGTTTCGACCCGAAATTCTTTTAATAGTTCTCACCAATCTTGACCTCGGATGTTTTTAACTCGTGTGATACAAAAATCAAATTAAACTGACTTATAATTTTGTCTTCCTTTCGACTACTTTTCTAACGGCGATCATAAATGAGAAGGATCCAGCAACCATTGTTACGGTAGTTTGAGCACTTCTTTAATTGCAAGTACACTTAAAATCGGAAGCAAGTCATGTTTAATAACATCGGTTCTAGAATTTAAAACATTGTATAAACGACCGGAAGTTCTCACATTAGATCCTTTTTTTCAGCAATCCATAACATAATAAAAGCCGGAAAGGGTTAAATTTGATATTGAGTTCATCTCTGTCAGAAGGTTTTGTTTGAAAATAACAAACCGACAGATAATAGTTTCGAATGCGGAAAATTCAACATCCTCACCAATATCCTTAGCATTTGATGTAATTATCATTCTTTATCGAATAAGTGATTTCCTTTGATTATTTCACCGGAAGTAGACCCTCCTTCCTTGGAACCCAGTCTTCTTGGTTACTGACATGTGAAGGTTCTTTGTGTCTCCTGCTGTCAAGAAAGTCTTAGTGGGTGTTTCGTATATTTAAATGTCGTCCTTCTGATATTTAAACCGTGTTGTATTCGGTAAAAATGCACCCGACGATGTGGGAACCCTACGAGAAAGCTACCTAGAAATGTCTAACTGTGATAATTTTGTAGAACAACTCTGGAGAAAGGGGAAGTGCGCGAACTGCTTTCAGTCTCGCGACAAACATCAAAACGCTGTCAACAAACACGAAGACGCCAATTTTACCGGTAGTGGTTCCGCAAACTGCAGACCAAAACGAGTTGTGATTCCTCCACAAAGCCCAAAAACTCAAAATTTTAAAGCATGTAGTGTTGAAAAGACAGATAATTTATTTGAACAGGAACAAGGAAAGGAGGGAACTGATAAAGGGAATGGTGAGAACGATATTAATAAATCCATTACACCTTGCACAACTCACGCCATTGAAGTAACCAACGATCGCAGTAGCACTGTGACTGATTCAAGGAAAGAGGCACAGGATTTCAAAACATCGACTGCCCTTAAACCTAGGCCAGCACCAAGACCAAAACCACGACCGGCTTCTCGAGCTGTGGAATTTAGTTATAGCGCCGCAAGTCGCGACGAAAACCCGCAAGAATCAGCAGATGTGTTAAACGGTCCCACATCGTTTGAGAACTCTCTTGGGAATTCCCTTACTCAACCATGTAACGCAACCTCCTCAGAAATTCCCATCGAGAGTGGATTGTCAATATTGGATAACGTTGAAAAAGCGAAGCTGGAAAACAGATCTAACAACGAAACAGACAACGAGACAATTGGTAATAAAGTAGATGTAGTTGAGTTTGGGGAGCCAAAGAACGATGCGGAGTTTTTGGACGTGAACAAAAGTGACATTCTGCCTTCATCAGATAACGTTTCAACCGAAATTGAAGAAGCCGCTCCGGTATCTACAAATGCGATCGAAGACGACGATTCAAGCGACGAATATGTACCGATGAAGAGCAATATAGTGTTGTTTGGTGTCGAATCTGATCCGCTACGTGAAGAAGTTCGTGAGACAGATGTTTTGAAACCAAACTGTGAAAGCGATAGTGACTCGAAAAAAATGGCGATCAGCGAAAATCGAATGAAAGTTGCATGTGGCTCTCAAATCGACGAAGAATTGTCGTCTACTGTTTTAGAATTTCGTAATCCGTTGTGCATGATCACAAACAAGATCAACGAATCTAGAATTACTGATCGAGACACTGGTGAGTCGGACAAATTGAATAATAATCGTGATAATCCTAACAAGATTATTTGTAAATTTTCTACTACCACAGAGCCAAATTACGTAAATAGAGCCTCAAGCTCAAGCAGCGAAAGTGCAGTGTCCGGCAGTCAAGATTCGGGTTATGAAAACACTCGAAAGTCGAACAGGGGTGATTCTTTTAACAATGCCTCGGGCAATGAGTCAGTTCTTGTAGAACAAGAAGTAGGCTTGGCAGATATTCCAGTTACTGTCACTCCCACAACAAACGATGGTTATTGTATTATTGAGTCTAGTGGAACCTCAAGTAGCTCTTGGGGAAGCAGCACTTGGGACAGTTGTAGCACATCAGATTTACATGAAAACAGTGGTGAAGCTATGGCTGCTAAAAATTCCTTTGGAAATTTGAACACCAGAAATAACAAACCTCACTTGGTGGCATCACCCAGAGTGGCAGTAAAAGAACAACCCATACCTAACGAAAAACTCCAAAGTAGCAATACTGGACCTTTTTATGTGAATACAACATTAAAACCAATTACAAAACCATATAAAGTGGTTGACATAAGTGCTGGTGTTGCTGTTCCAACAACAGAGAGCCCAAGTGATGCACCACCCCTGCCCCCAAAAGAAAAGGATCTGAAGAAAGATAGAGCTGAGGAATTGAATCATATTTACTTGGAACCCAGTGATGGGACTGCAGCTGCCCCAGAACAAAATTTGAAAAATGAAAAGGATGAAAAGGCTATTTCCAAGGTGAGTGCTTCTCTAAACTCATCCTTCAGCAAAGCTTCTGGCAGTGTAATGGACAAGAGCTCAGCTGTGCGAAGGGCCCCAGCACCAAGACCACGTTCTAGAATACCATCTCAATTTGGCACCTTACCCAAACCTGCCCCTCGTACATCAAGAATTCTGAACGACACAGTTGTCAAGGTGGACACCAAAGAGCAAAGAGTGGTTACAGTGACCCCACCAGTTGGTAAGTTTTGTGATTTTATGTTGTGGTTTTGCAAAACAGGAGGACACCTGATTTGGAAAACATGGTAGCTGTCTCATTGATTTGGTTTGTATAGGGTCATTCATATTGATTGGATTAAACTCAACACATTCTGGACAGTGTTCTACTTTTAAAGCTGTAATCAGTAAAATATACTGCTTTTAGTACCCCATATTACTGCCTAAACTTGCTCGAAATTCTTGAAAATTCCACAGGTAAAAGGGTTGCTCTTTAAATATTTCATTTACCTTTTGTGCCTAAAATAAGGGAGGGCACTGCTTGACTAAAAAGTTATAATACACCAATGACATACATGATGATGGTCAAACAATGCTGACAGAGAATGTAGTTATGTGATGAGGTTTACAATGAATTTCAGGTTAAAATTAATTCATCCTGGTTTGGTTTGTATTTTCTGTGAAAAAATCGAGGTATTGTAAATAACTGAAACAAAAGAAAGTACAAATCAAATTACTTAGACCTGATTTAACACATATAAATATTTAACTATTCAACTATCTGTTCTTTCATACAATTCATCCAAATTCCCTCCAGTTTTTGAGGAAAAACATGTGATATTTTAGTTTAGAGCTGACATCCTATTCAACTGAGACAGCAGTTATGAAAAAGTTAAAAATTCAAGGCTATAATTGGCTAGTTCACGACAAAAGTTTTTCATGATATTTTTCTTATCTCAAGTTTGTTGTGAAACCAAAACTTCAGTGATTCATATCAAACATCTTGCAGAGTCATTTATTATTCCACGTGCAACCCTTATGCCCTATGTTTGTATACTAAAATGAAAAACAAATTTGAATTGTTTTATTTCCTTTCCATCAAAAACATATCCTTGCAGAGTTTAAATGCTTCATTTTTAACTGTGCATATTTACCAACATTTGTTGAGTGTTTTAAACAAAAGAGAGATCCATAGTGTTAAAGTGTCTCAAATGATGTATAATTTCAAACTTTTTTAGAAATTTAAACATATATTTTTCAGCTCTATTGTAATTGTTGTAACACATGTCCATGTGCTTGAGACTGCATAAACAGCACAGAGTAAAACCTATTTTGCTTTAAAATTTTCAGAACTATACTCATTTATTTTTAAACTATTTTTCTGCTACAGCTAAAACACCACATGTTCATGCATCTTGAGACTGTGTAAACAACGCAGAATAAAACCTGTTTAGCATTGACAGGTCAAAAATGAGTCATAGCTATTTGTCAGCAAGCTGTTTTAATCAGTGAGATGAATTAGTTGAGCCAATGATTCAAAGTAATATTTTTTTCTTGATTTAGAGGATTTCTAGCCTCAGAGATAAGTTACAGTTCTTGTTAGATGCAGTAAATCATTATTTTTAATTCTATTTATTCCTTTTAGTTCAAATTCCCTGCAGGGGAAACTTTTGATGCTGTAATAAATCTGTTATCAGCTGAATCAGGTCTTGTCACATTGTTATCTCACACAGTATGGATATTAATTTTGTAGGTTATCCAATATACTTGTCACCCTTTTCATCCAGATATCTCTGCTTTTGGGTATTTGTTTTGTTGTAAAGTTTCCTGAAGCGACATATGCTATGTCTAATAGACTTGATGAAAGAGGTAGATAAGGTTGATGGGTGTGATAACAATGGAATCTTTGTTAGAAGTCCTTATCACAAATTATGCTTTTATCAAGTTCCTAGACAAATTAATTGGGTGACCAAGATGCTGTCAAATATTTACACATCTGGAGAATGAATGCGACTACTAACTTGTTTGTTTATGGTCTAAGCATAAGAAAGATCATTTAGAAATATATTCTTAATATCTAACCACATATATTCACCATCATTGCCAGCTTGTGCAGTATTTGACAAAGCTTTTTGCATTCCTTGGGACAAACAGAAGCATTTTTAATGAATTTGTACACCCAGGAAAACCTTCTGGCTTAAGTTTCAATTCCTGATGAAATATTCAAGACTTAACCAGACATATGTACAATATTTTTAAGTGTTAAATTATTTATACAGCATGGCTTTCTCTTTGAAATGTTTGATCATGCTTTCTTTGTTCAAACCACTTACCAGGGAAAATCTGAATCAATTCATGATTTTGTTCTTACTTTATTTCTTTACTTTGAGAAGTTTTTTCATCCATTATCCTAATAACCACGGTACAATGATTTACATTTACATTGATTGTAATTTTTGTGGCCAGAATTATTTCACACTTGTTGCATAAATATTGTCTTTGAGGAATTACAATTCTTTGACAAAATTATAATTTACCACAAGTAGCGAACTGCAGTAGGTTTTATTTATCAGTAAGTCGAAGTTAATTTGCTATGATGAAACAATAAAAAAAAAAGTTATTCTTGGGCAGGAAGGTATCTGGAGGGAAGAAGGGAACCAATTCCCACAACTGAATTAACCCTGACATCAGTATTCATATTCTTCTCTATACTTTTCTTTTGGTGTTGAACAAATTTTTATATTTGTTAACCCTTTAACACCTAAGAGTGACTAGCATTTAATTCTCCCCACAATACCACTCCTGAATCAAACATTAAGGTCATGAGAATAAAGGAAATGATCAACAACTAAAGAGGCTCTTGACTGTTAAACAAATTCTCCTTGACAGCACCATAGGAAATGTATGAAGAACAGTATAGAGAATATTCACACTTATGCTAGGGTGTTAAGGGTTAATCACTTTCTGAGTGTTGATTATTAAGTTAGAAATATTATTTCATTCCATCATTTCATTTTAATTGAAGGAGTAATATTCCACAAAATACAGTAAAGAAACAAAGACAATTTTAAAGTAAAAATTGTGTTATAACCATGTTTGAATAACATAAAAGATTAAATCCAGGGGTACCAAGAGCTTAACACACTGCATGACATGAACTGAAAAAGCAAATGTAATATTATTGGTTAAATTCATTTTGTTACGTTTGCTATCTTGTGTTATTCATATTTGATTTTGTTTTCACCATGTTTTTTTTCTTTATAGTTTATAGATTAAGCTTTGCTTACATTTACATTAACATTTGTTGATTTTATTTTATTTTTGTTTTAGTTTCAATATCACCCCTACCCACCAACCCACCTCCAGACCCACCCCCTCTTGAAAGGAGGCCATCATTTACAAAACCAAATCAGGCTCTGACAAGTCCTGCCTCTTCCCCACCCCCTGTGAAGGACATTGGGGAGCATAGGAGCCCAGAGAATCCACCTAAAAGTGCACCTTTGAGTCCTGTTAGTCCTGTAAGTCCTGTCAGCAAGCAAGGTGTGGCAGTAGGGGGGCTACAGGATGGGCCTGTAAAACCCAAAAGAAGTGCCCCACCACCTCCCCCTTGTGGTAAGCTTGTTGCATAAACATACTGTAGAATAATGAGATAGAGTATTACCATGATACCAAGTAGTTATTATTAACAAATACACAGCCCCTTTGAAACAGTCAGCAGGATTCACTTCTCAAGGTGACATTTTGATGCAAATTTAATTTCTCTGCATATAACTACTATTGCACTTTTGATATAAGTTCCGTTACTCATTGCCCAGGGTCATTGCCCAGGGTGTTATATTCCTTTGAATACGTTTCACTGAAGCACAAAAAGGTGAATTTATTGCCTTATTGCTGCTTTCTCTAGTAGCAGTAGCTACTTCATTGTGCATCTTATGATTGCCTACATGGGAAGGAATGTGTATTTTAAGCTTCTTGGTAACCACCAAGCTCATAATGCACTCAACGTTGAAGGATGCAGGATGTTGAAATGATATAATTTAGCACAGGGGAAGGTGTGCCAGGCAAGGATTCTGGGAGTTCCCTGTGGGATCCAGTGGTAATGCCTGGTTAGAGGTTTATAGGAAGAAGTCATAGAAGTACAATATAAAGATTCTATGCCCTTCGACTCCGTGAAAGTGCCCCTCTTGATAACAAATTGGAGAAATTTGCCCAGTCAAACATTCTCTTGGCTGTAGGAAAATTCTCCCTTCTAATTGACCAGTTCTCTATTGGGGCCAACGTCTAATTTGTACAGAGTTTGACGAGGCAGAACTAATTTATATATTACAGTATGAACATCCTTGAACTCACATCTTTTTTATGCTTATTAGTTGGTTGTGATTTACAATATTTGTTGTTTTTGGTAGCTTCCAGTCCTCCACCGCCAAAGTCACCTTTGTCCCAACCTGTGACGCCTGTGAAGTCAGCTAGTCCTAGTCCTTCTCAAACAAAATCTCAGCAAGTGTCATCTCCAACTCCCAGTCCATCTCCACAAAAAACTCAGTCAGTCTCATCACCAAGCCCCAGTCCATCTCAATCAAAATCTCAGTCAAAGTCTAAGCCAAGTAGATCATCCAGCTTCACTGAACCACATGGTGCCGACACGGATACGAGCCCTGCAAAAATGTCGTCTCCGAAATCGACGATCAGAAGGGCTTTTGCCAGCATGAAAAAACTGGGGGGCAAAAGGAAACACAGACACAGTAAGACCATAGAGATTAGTGCTCCTATTGCAGTGAATGATGAGGTGCCAGGCTTTTTGGAGCAGAAAGAGGCAGTGCGGCGTCGGACCTTTTCCGAAGTGAAGCCTCTACAAACCGAGAAGACCAGGGCGTCAGAGCCAGATCAGGTTCAGCCTGCAGAAGCTATTGCCCCTTCCGCTGAATCGGTACTCCCACCTGCTACAGCTGAACATGCTTCATCTACCACTCCTCCCTCCACTGTGGAATCACCAGCCATTGAGGAAAGATACGGCAAGAAAAGTTCTCCCATTATGCAGACCAAGCCAGGGATTGGCTACCAGAACTTTCCTTTGTCAAAGGGAGGAGACACCCTGGAGCGTCCAAAAAAGCCTCCTCGCGTGGCCAAAGTTGTCAAACCATTGCAGCACAACGAGCCGACGCCAGGCCAAGGTACCAACCAGCAAGAGGAAGAACCAACCTATCTGCAACCCAATGAAGATGAGCTTACAATCAAAGTAGAGACAGCGTTGGCCAATTTGACTGATGCTGAAATCCTCGCTGAAGCTCTATCAAGAGTGGAGCAAGAATTACTTGGACCACTACCAGCCATTCCTAGATCCCGGCAGGTTCATTTCCCAAGTGAAAATTCCGATGGCTCAAACACTTTTGCGGTTGGCAAACCAGATCTCCCGAAGCGTCCCGTACGGGTCGTTTCCCCAACCCTCATCAACGGGTCTGGGGACAGGGGCGATTCCAGATCTCGCCCCAGACTTCCCTCTAGGCCGCCAAACACAAAGCCAGCGGAACAGCCCATGCGAGAACGATCCCAAAGTCTAAGAACACAAACTTTAGACCGACAGAAACCCCCAGCTTTACGTATCCGAAGTCAATCGATGACCGCGAATGTCCTAGAGAAGCGCTACAATAAGATTTTGAAACTGCAGTTACAAACGCTGGAGGAAATGATTCAGTCTTGGAGAGGGGAACTACTGCCTGACCCAGAGCTAAACTTGTCTGATACGAGGTGGTCAGACTACGAGCTCTGTGGTGATGCTCTGAGCGTGCAATGTCATGGAGCTGTTCTTCTACCCGTGAAATGTGCCATGTTTTGGGAAGGAAACAAGAAGTTACTTGCTAAGGTCAGTGTTGTAAAACATTGGGTCTGCATGCACGTATTTCTAATTTGTTCATGGATTTTTGAGAATTTTTGGTTTATACCCTCATTCCATTCTGTCGGGTGGTTGTAGTAATTAAGAGCATTTTTAATGTTTTTGTATTAATTGCTATTGTTATTTGTTTTAATTTTATTATTGCATCCTCGTTTAATCAGGTGGAATACCCGCTGCATTCCAGAACTCGCTCTTCGGAACCTTCACCTAACCAGCAGGATATACGTGTATGCGAGGCTCTGCCGTATCACGTGAACATATCTCGTGTGCTGACGCATTTTATTGATCACGTGCCTGGTGATGCAATTGGGCAACCCGACTGTGATTCGTACGAGACGTTGGTGAGCATCACAGATCAGATACCTTGTGAAACTGTCGCTGACTTTCTCAAACGCACCATTGACGAACACAAAAGTGATCCAGAAACTTATGAGAAGAAAATTTGTCTGCTAGTTCTTCAGCTTTTGAGTGCGCTGAATCATTTACACCAAGAGGCCGTTGTTCATCGCGACTTGAAAGCCGAGAATCTTTACATTCTGGAAGGCGAGCTCGTGGTAATTACCAATTTCCAGTGTGCGCTCAAGCAGCCTAGAGGCACTCAACCCAGTCCCTTTATTTTAAGCCAGATCACGTCGAGCCATTTTAGCGGCAACCCTGAACATCTTCCGCCAGAAATAGCGAATGCGTCAAAAGACTCAGAGCAGTTGAATTATGAAGACTGCGACACTTTTGCGGCTGGTTGCTTAATTTACGAGTTCCTTCACAGACACAATCCTTTTGCTGCTAACCCGAGCCTTGTCAAGCAGAGTTATGACCAAACTGATCTTCCTCCAGTTCCCTTCAATTCGCGATATTCAAGGGGACTGAGCACGATTGCTCGTCAGTTGTTACAACGTCACCCCCAGGAACGTTTGTCTGCTGTGGAAGCCATTGAAATGCTTCAGGTATTGCTATGGGGGCCGAAAGAACTTGACGATGAGAGCATAGACAGCACCATTGGCGATTGGCTAGAAACGGAGCGAGCACATACAGTTGCGATGATTGCGCGAAACCAAATCCAGAAGAGTTGCAGCTCGGACGATTTCTTGGAGACTTACATGAAGTGTCAGTTTCTTGTGGATGCTTCTGTGGAGACAATATCACATATTTATCAGCAACTTGATCTCGACCAGTGAGGATGTCCTGAACCAGGTTCGAAGGAATGTATCTTTTCATTAACTTATAAACTTGTGCAAATGTAAATTACGCGAGCATGTTGTCGTTCGAAACTGACAGCCGTATGTTAGTTTACTTGCGCCGGGCCAATCAGGAATCACGTTAGGTTCGTTTGCTTACATATTGGTATTAAATAAGCAAAGTGTAGTCAGATATAGTTTAAAATGTAGGTGTGTACTACGCTTTAGGCGTATGTTTGTCAGTAAACCTCGTCTTGTTCGTTTTGTGCTCCATTTAAGACCAAATTGTGGTAAATGATAAAATCTGTTAAGTATCGTGGTTAAGTAAATCAGGTTTAGAAAGATCCAAGAACAGCTCGAGGTTAAATGTCTACAATTGACCTAACAAAAGAAATTAATACGTGTGAGTGAGCGGGTTTTCTTCCACATAAACCGTTCGATTGTCGCAAGAAACTCGCGTGTGTTGGGAAAACCATGCGCGTCGCTTGTAACATACCTCGTTGCGGTTTACAGTCATCTCGCCGCCAGCGAGCCCGCCATCAAGGCAACCTCACCACCACTAAAATTGCGACCGAGGTCGCTAGCTAATTTGGCATGAATTCAAAGCTTTAGGCGACTCTTACGTTCGATCTCGAGCTTCGGGAGCATTGCCATAAGAATTCCACGGGAAATACCGCAGAGCCGTGCGAGGTAACACGCCTTAACGATATCGATTACACTTCGGTTGCGAGTCTTCCTGGCGGTGAGGTGACTGGTTACCCTGATTACCCACTACCTGGGTAGTAATGCTTAATTGACTTTATTAGATGATTTCACACAGCATATGCTACTCATAGAGTAATGGGGAAACCAGGTTCTCCTAAAGTATGTTTGGTTGAATTTCATAGATATTCTAAGGAGGTGATATTTAAAATTGGTCGTTACGAGTAGGTTGAAATCCCCGTGGGTATGTTGTAGGGTAGCAAGTTTTAGAGAGTTATCTTTGGATGCCTTCGTTTTCTCAGGCATTTCAAGTTATTTTTGAATTTCTTTCCAGAATAATGATATGTATATGTATATTCCAAAAAAATATATTTATATTTGGTTGTCATAGGTGACGCCTCTATAGAATTTAAAATTTTTTTTTCAATTTTTTCCCTAGCAAGGAAACGTGCATAATTATTATTAACTTTTATTTAACGAGGAGATATTTCCCAGCGTAGTGTAGAAAGCTCAACGTTATTTTTTGTATATTTTTAAAATGTCTTTGAAATTTCATTGCTTCCTCGAATTTAAAGAAATGTATTTTATTTCAAGAATATTGGAAATTTGGAAAATTGTCACGTTGAAAGAAGAGTTTGGGAGCAAGTGACGTTTTTGGACGATCTTGATGAAACTCATTGGGGACCGAGATGATCTTCAAAGAGCACTCGAAGAGACTCGTACAGGACAATAAAAATTGATAATCCCACAGTGTCAAATGGTACAGACAAGCCCTAAGAACGATCCCTTGACAAGCAATTAGACAAGCCCTCAGAAATAGATAGGTTTTTTTTCTCGGTCACGTGCTTTTACGCAGACAACATCGTGTGAAGTGAACTTTTTGCTGCTTTTAAATTGGACTAAAAGAATTGGAATTTAGTTGTTACTTCACGATGATTTCCCGAGAACGAGACTTGCTCCCCGATCAATTACGGGATAGTTGGTTTTAACTTATTTGACGTCATTCTGATTAAAGGAATAGGAAAGTTATTTATTTCAGTCTGCTTAACTATTGCAGTTTTTTTTTTTTTTGGTAAAATGTTGTGAGGTGAGGGAATAGGTGCACTTAGTCTTAAGACAGAAGGGGTGATACAAGAAAAAGAACCGGTTCATGCGTGCCAAGAGGGTAAATATTTTTCGAAAGCATAAAAATTAAGCATAACTCCTAACTCCAAAATTTGAAAAATGTTTATCACATTTCTCTTCCGTAACATTTTTTATTTAAAAGTGAAATTTTAAGGTAAAACAGCTGTTGCTTCGGATGCACTAGCGTCTGTCAAGAAATAAAGCTAATACTAAGAAAGTCGTATGGATGTACACGCATTCGAAGTTTGAAATAGTCCTCGATTTGAAATCGAGGCACTATTCACTCCTTTTCTCCCAAGAGTCTTTTTGTTGTGGTGGTCACCTTTAGGTTTCCTAAACGTCATTAGCTATTTCAATCACAGCGTAAATATTTTACCAGATACTACAGCAAAAATATCTTTGAAACATTTTCCACGCGGAATCTACAGTGCAATCAGTCGTACTGTTGTGCAAAGGGTACCAGTAAGAGCAAGAGATCTGTCTGTATAATACTTGTAGAGACTGGAAGAGGTGAGAAGAATTTTACAACTGCTTACCGGGGTTGTGAATATCTTATACGTCTTTGTCGGTGAAAATTAGTCGTACGTGTCTAGCTCTGTGTTTGCCTTTTCATTATCGCTGTGGTTGTTTTATAGAACTTAAAAGTTTTCAGCCGAACTCATACAGGTTCACAATGTTGTATAACTTTTGGAGGAGGTGTTCATTTTAAATGAGCGCGATTTGATGTAAAACAGTCCTACATTTTCCTTTAACGAAGAAGCACAATGACTTTTCACTGAAGCATGAAGTCAAAATCATGTTTAAATTTATTCAAAATCTTTTGTTTCTAAAAGATACATTATTGGCCTGCGTTTATGTTATTTCTGCCAGTTTTCAAAGTTTTATATCCTTGAGTTGTTCGTGTCGGAAAAGCTGAGAGATCACTGAACTAGGCCTCGAGAGTAGTTAGCGTACGTGCTCTGTAGTAATTCTACTTCGTTCCAAATTTGCAAATGAACCAAGTACACCCACGTCGTATTGATCCATTGATGATAACGTATTGTTTTTTAATTTAAAAAAAAAAAAAAAAACTTCGAGAGCTTTTTAAGTCAATAAGAATTTCCGTTATTATTGTCTCGTTCGTTGGAATAATATCTATACTTCTTTTGTGTTTCCTTTTATTATTGTAAATATTAATTTTATGATCACTTGTTACGCGGCCCATCTTGAAGGAGAATGATTACGTATTTCCATTTATTATTTTTGTCATTACTTATCGCCTGGACGGGGGGGCGGGGGGGAGGGGAGTCGAAGGTTTTTAGTTGTACCTGATCCTCCTAAGGCCCTGTAGTATTCTACGGCCGCCTCTTTACTTTTTATACTCTGTAAGTCACGACTTGTCTTCCTGTTTCCCTGAAAACCATGTGATCCTTTTCAAAATTATATACCCCCACCCCCCCACCCCCCCACCCCTCCCGTCAGGTGAGAGTAATGACCGGTCTCTAATTATGATTTTAAGGTGTGATCATTATGGGAGCAATTGAGTTTTCTCTTCGAACCCTAAAGTCAACGTTTGAGGTCATAGCTTGCTCTTTAAATCATATAAAGACTGCTGTCTAGCAACGTATCTAAAAGGATAGACTCTACCGCGCCCATTCTGATAAACACCGATATCAACAGCAATCAGAAATAATTATTGAAGGCTTTATCAGTTTCCCACGTTTTAGCACTCAGAGTTAAAGAAGATGATACAAACTTGAGAAAGGAAGCAATGTTAAAATTCATGTTTTCCTTTCTTTTAGGAACCACCTGCCTAACAATGTTGACTGCCTGGCTCAAATCAATGCTATCTGTTGAAAGGTCCAAGCCGCTGACCAAAACAGAACGCTTTACCCAGTGGTCATCTTTACTATACGTCGTTGTGGGCACATCTATGCTTTTTATACCATCCTTGTGGGGATTTTTGTACAAAGTCGAGCTCCTTGGCCGGAGCGCAGGCTACATTCAGCTTGGAGGGCTTGCTTTCGTTGTCGAGGGATATTTGCTAGTGATAGCCTCAAAATCTGAGCATAAATTCCCAGGCCATGGCCATATTAACATAACTGTGCTCACAAGACTGATCCTTGTCAACATGTCCTTAACAATCCTGTACTTGAAGGGAACAGCTCCAGTGCGTTGCATTGCGTTTATTGCAGCCCTCGACAATTCCTTGGCTGTTGGTGTTTTTTTGGTTTGGATTTCCACTGAAGAGGGTGCAACCTTGGGTTTGTTTTTCAAGGAGATATTTGATCTTCTATTACGATTTCCCGTCGGTCCTTGTTCTTCTATCGCGGTTCTCTTGTTAGGAATTGTGCAGTTTTCAGCAGGTCTTTACTTGAAAGACGTAACTCGTTTAAGTCACGCACTCAGCTTGGATCCGTTCTTAGGTTATTCAGGGCTTTTCCTGAGTTTTTACTTCAGCCTGAATGCGGCGCATGCAGTATTGTATATCTCCAATGGTCAAGCAGTGAGCACAACGTTCAACAAGGGCTGTGTTTTTTATCGCGTGGCAATCAATATTTTAGTGCTTTTTGTTTTAGGCGCTGCGAATCGGATTGAAACAAGTCTATCCGTTTTCCTGATCAGTGTGGAAATGATCCTCGCTGCATTTATCTTGGTGTCTTTGTCCTGTGACAAAGATAACTATGACCAAGGCAAAGAAAAGTAACAAGTTGGTAGAAAAACCCTTTTAGGAAGGTTTTATTGTGAAATTATAAACATATATCCTTTCAAAAGTCGTCTCCCTCGCGTGATAGTTTGATATTTTTGTCTCTCTGTTTCTGAGAGAAATTTTGTTCCTTTTTTTATTCATTTCTCATAAAATAATTTCCCCTATCCTATTATAGAAGCCATTTAAAGTAGACCGTACCAGTAAGGTGTCGGGTGTGAAAGTCATGCAACAGCCATGAGTTGTAAACATAGGAATGCACTGTTGATGTTGTTACTCTCATTGTTAACGTTGTTTTAAAAAGTTTTGAATAAATTTCCGCTTTCTATATCCTGCACTAATAAAAAGAGTACGCACCAAAACTTGTATGTTTTTTAATTGCTAGGAAGTCACAAGGTCAATTTAGCCTCCCAGCTCAGAATGCGTTTTTTTATTCTAATTTCATTGGAAATGTGTTAACTGAAAAAAGGTTAATTCGTCATACAATTAATTGAATTATCAAATTAGCTTAGTGAATAGTTATTATTTCCATGAACTACGAATGAATTGTAAAGATATTACGATAAATAGATCAAAGTAACGAGGAGCTCGAGATAGCTCATAGCAAATTACTAATAATTCTTGTCATGTCTCTCAACAACACCTGTTTTATACCATCCTGTGTGGTGTTCCGGTGAAAAACAGAGAAATAAACACGGAAGAGTCATTCAAAGTTTCTCCCCTTTCCACCTCCTTTGGAGAAAGTCATAAGGGATAATGGAAGTGTAAGGAGGGGGGGAAGAGGGGGAGAGAGAGGAGAGGGGGGGAGAGGGGGAGGGTGAAGGAAAGCGTTTGAAGACATCCAGGATAAAGTTTAAGTGCAACAGTATATTGCGTAATTTTCGGCCGATACCAGATCCCGGCCAAAAGGAAGTTGCCCTGATTCAACTTTTCTAATTTCCGCAGAGCGAAATGTAAAATCGGTCCATTGTTTTGTTTGGCATTTAAGCGAGGAAACTGCAAAGAGCCGTGGAATTTCATTGAGGTGAGTAAAAGTTTAGCAGCCAATGATTACACTTTTCATTGCGGCACACGAAAATACCGCATTTAAAGTATTGCCCCTTTTAATCGTAATTTTTCGAAGAGCGAAAAGTTGTTTTCAAGGGGTTAGATTAGAAATGAAAGTCACCAGCGTGTCTATCGCCACCAACAAGAATCTGGACCCTTATATAATTTTATAGGTAAATATCTAAGCGACGATTTAAACTTCGTGGAGCAAGTTGACTGCAACCAATAGATACCTTCTCATAGGCTAGTTTTGGAGATTTTAATTAACTGCAGGAGTCGCCCTTACGCCTTTGTAGGAGCTGGTATTGTGCCTTACCCCGTGGCCTCTGGGTACTGACTTTTCTTTGAACAATTTAGAGCTTCTTCATTTGGTGATTATTTCCTTTATTCTCGTGACGTTTAAGTTTGATTCAGGGCTGATCTTGTAAAGAGAAATTAGACGCCAGTCACTCTCAAGGGTCAAAGGAAGTTCAAGGAAAGAAGCAGAGCAGTTCTGTTTGAAATAAGAATAATATTTTCGGACATTTCAGTCGAAATTGAAACAACTATTACAGGAAAAGTGTTACGCTCAAAACAATGTAAAGGGCATCATCATGTGTCTTCTCTGTCGCACACTTATGATGCCAAATCTGGAGAAGAGCACTTTATATTTCTTAAAATATTACAGCTTTTGTAATTTATTATTCTAGATGCACAATGTATAACCGCGCCACTTTCCTCGTTTGCATAATACCGACACGTGCTAAAAAAAATCAATTACCTATGAAATGATAGACCACATTTTAAAATGTAAAAGCCATGCTTATTTATTTTGAAAAAGCCTTCAGTATAACCAGCAAATATTTTTCATTTTAAAGGCAATTTAAATGCTTCGATTAAGATAAAAAAAATTGCGTTATGAACGTGATGGACACCTGACAGGCCGAGGAAATTTTCCTATCCAGATCGTTCTAAAAAATTATTATTCCGGAAAAAATTTTTTTTTCAAGTAGCTTCACGGTGAAGCTCTCCTTTCGGAACGTCCCGGCAATTGCAGGTAATTTGTCGTTAGCTCCGCAACTAGCTCTGAAAACCGCAGTGGAACAATCTGAAGTTAAAAAAATAGCCCTTTTTTACTTTATCGAAGGCAAAATCGAAAATTGCTAGAGCAGATGGACTCCGAACTTCGGTGGTACATCTGCAGTGTTTATATTAAATAAAGTTGTACCGATGCAAATGCTCATATTTCGCTTATGTTTGTCCGCTGAAGTATAACAAAGTGCACTTCTTAATGTCTGCATGGTCCTGTGGTCCCTTAGGAAACAGTTTTGTTTTCCTGAGAATAGGGTTAGATCAATTGTGCATTATGCATTTGAGTGAGACTCCTTAAAACGTGGTATTGTCCCGAAAATTATAATCTTCAGAACACAGCATTTTATTAAATCATATTCTTAAGGTACAGCCGACAGTATTCGGTATTGCTGAACTGTAACATCAAGGTAATTTTCAAAAATTTTAGTCATTACACCGGTATTACGCTCGGTGCTCTGACTGTAAAATTATGTCATTATGCCCTAGATTATGCCAGACATTTATCTCACCCCACCCGAAAGACTCAGTTTTCCTTTACTTGGTCTAAGAAAACATCGAGACTCACGGAAAAACAAAGCTAACTGTTTCCCTCGAGAGCAAGTATTTTAATTTAAAAGTTTCAATTAATTACAGAGGGTTCTGGACTCTCCCGACGCGGCACTTGTCACTTGTCACTGAAATTTCCCTAAAAACGTCCCTTTTCCTAATGTTTGTTTGATGAAGTGCGTCAGTGGCATTTGAATTGTTAAACATTTCGTTTTTAATTATTTTGTTCTTGTTTTTTTATGACATCCGCTTCAGATACTGCAGTCGACAACATTGGGACACCCACACGCGGAGGTGAGCATAGTTTAAGTATTTTTGTTTCGCATCAAGATGTCAAGCTATGGTCTTTTATTAGAAACATTTTACAGTTTGGAACCTTAAGCGGTGTGAGAAACAATCTTCACCTGTGGCATTCTTGTCCTGACCTAAAGAAAGCTGCAACGATTCTGATTAGAACTGGTATAGCCACCATAGGAAAAAATCATTTTTTTAAGAAAGAAAAATTTTGCCTTCCTCTCCGGTCCGGCTTTCATAAAAACAATGCATAACAAGAACACTTGCGGACCGTTTCTATAGGCGCTCGTTTAATTTTTAATAATCTTGAAAATCCGTTCCCCAAGTCGGCTTTATAGCATGATATGCCTTGTAGAATGGTTTAGATACGCAAATTCTTATTTATGAATTGCATCATAATTTCATTCTTTGCTACGAGAAAAATGAGTACTCTTTATTTCCCGTTTTTGCCTTGGACATTTGAAATGCCAGGACATGAAATAAGTCAAATCATCATCATCAGTGTATAGCGCTTGTCCATTGTTCGGTCAAATTGCTGAAATTAAAGGACTGTGTTAGAGAGCTTCTCATTGGAAAAGCAGACTTTTTAAAAGTTATTTTCCCCGCCGGTTTCTTTGGAAAGTTAATCAGGAATCGATTCAAAAACGAAGGAGGGAAAATCAGCAAGCCTGTTCACATCTTTTTTCCACGATTAAATTTCCTGGCGGCCCTAAATTTTGTAAGTTTATGAAATATAAAGAAAAAAATGTTTATAAGAGCAACTCTCTTGTCCTCAAGTTTCTCGTCTTTCTAAGTTATATTCCTTCTTTTTTTCACAGCTGAAAGTATTAATTTGATGGAAATCGATTGATTGGCATAATATATCAGAACTTTTTGTCATAACGAGATGACAAAACGGCTTCGCATTATTCTGATTCTAAAGGTTAGATGAAAAGAGCCGATCTTTCACTGCACCAGTGTTTGACAGCTTTATATGCAAATTTGTTGAGTCAACAGTAACCTGAGTTTTGAAATTGTTTCGCGTCACCTAGAATGTTTTTCAATCCTCTTCAAAACCCTGGACATACTTAATAAGGCGACGAGAAATTCGTTAAAATCTTCGTATGCGTTATGTTACTCGACATCTGTGGTGTCCCAACAATTATGTGCTAAAATTCGGCGCTTGAAAATCGACCTACGAACAGTTGATTGCATGAACGCGCAGTTACACAAAACATCTGTATTTTCTCTTGTTGGATCCAACACAAAAATCGAACTCACCTTGAGAACGATGCTGTTTTCTCTTTCTTTTTCTGTTTTATTTTCTTTTTGCGCGGAAGGAGTTGTGTGTTGTTTTCTTTTTATAATCATTTCTTGTTCTATATGACAGCATTTCAGACATATAAAAAGCTAAGACTGAATTAGTAGTTACGGCCGTTATTCTTTTTTCCTTAGAGAAATGTGTTTTTGCCAATAAAAGTCTTTGGTGATGTGTGTTGGAAGTGCTTATCTAAATTCAGCACTTTTTGCAATTAAAAAAATAACTCCAAGATCAGATGGCCGTTTGTGCGCTCTTTAAAGAACTTACTAGAACTACTCTCTCGCTCATTTTCATTTTCATCAGTCGGACTTCTAACTCGCCCTAGATCTGACTTTCAAGGATATGGTAGGTTTTTCTTCTCAGCCTTCCACCTAATCCGGTTTTAAACATTCATTTCGGAAAAATGTTACGTAGGAAGACTTTGGATGCCACGTTTTTAATTTAACGGACGAGATGAAATTTCAGTCACTCCTAGCTGAAGTTGGCTGTCAACCAACTGCTAACTCGCCATCTGCCAATTAAATGGCTTTTTCTTGTCGACTCAACTTATAGAAGAAAAGTCAATGAAGGGGTTATTTAAATATCGTCACCAAATCGTTAAAAGCATTTTATACATTTTCTCAGGTATTACGTTTCAGTTGTAACCTATTTAGAAACTTCGAGAAGTTTACTTCTTATTAACTTTGTTTCGGGCTATTTACAGGGGTGAAGGAAAACTTAGGGGACAACGTCAAAAGTTTTCAAAATTATTTTACATGCTAAAGTTCGTACTTTGCCTTTGCCAGCTATAATGTTTCTTGCTGAGAGATGAGAAGATCCTTGCGCTGCGAAGATTCACGCGCTCTCTTTACTCGGAAGATCCAACGATTAATTGGGATCAAAAAGTAAAACAAATATGGCGGTGGCCGAATGTTCAGCAGCTAAACACATCCACGTTTTGAATAGTTTCAACATTTTCGTCCTGTTTCACCCGCAGAAATGCTATCGGCCTTCTTATGAAATTTAAAAGAAAAGAAGAAACTTTGATCGATTAGTTTGTGTTTGTATGCTTTGGTTTACCGTATTGTGCCAG